CTCCCCAGGGACACAGACCTGTGTACCTTTCCAAGTGAGGCAGTGATACCTGATTTTGCTCTGTTGCCATGTGTTCTAGCTGGGAGTCTCTTCCGTTGACCAGATTCTTCAAGTTTGTGTGTGTTGGGGATGTTCCATGTCATTCGACTCTGATCCGGCACAATATTCTCCTGGGTCCTGATCATCTGAGTTGTCACTGGGTGGTGAACTGAAATTATTGGGGATGGTCAGGGAGGTCCCTTGTGTGGGAAAGTTGCTGGAAGTTGAATTTCCCAAATCCAAGGAATGAGTTGGAGCTTGGAATTCAAGAAGTGAAAAGAACACCCAATTATCTCAATCCAAAAGGCCTTCTACAAGACACATTGTATTAAAATTATCAAAAATTGATGACAAAGAGAGAATTCTCAGGGCAGCCAGAGAAGATGATAACCTATAAAGGAAAACCTATTAGATTATTGTCAGACATCTCAACACCCACCTTACAAGCCAGAAAGAAATGGAATCAAATATTCTAACTACTAAATGAAAGGAACTACCAGCATAGACTAATGTATCCAGCTAAGCTCTCTTTTAAATATGAAAGAGAAATTAAGACCTTTCCAGACATACAAAAAGTGAGAGAATTCTCTAACACGATGCCTGCATTACAGGACATACTGAAAGTGGTCAGCCCACCTAAAACAAAATGCAAAGAAAAAAAAATACATAGCTAGGAATAAGGCTATCAGCAGGCAGATAGAAGCAGAGGAGTGCAACCCTTACTAAGAACAGGGCATTATAAATGTAAACAATAAGATGAGATTTGCTATAGCAAGATAGTAATGAATGTCCAGCACACATAGGGACAAAGTGAGATAACAATGACTGAAAAGGGAAGGATTCAAAGATCCAAATTCACAAAGAGGAATGGAGATAAGGAACTTACAGAAGAAAAGGGACGATTGTATATACATATAACTATCCTTTACATATTTGTAATGGTAACAACATGCCAAAGGGTCAGGACTGAAGTATATAACATAAAACAAGGAGGACCAGAGGGAAAACCATAAAAGCTCCCCCTCAAAAAAAAAAAAACAATAAAACAAAACAAAACAGAGGGACAAGTAAGCAATGGAAACATTGAGCGACCAGAGAGCAAAAGACAAAATGGCTATAAGAAGACCTCATATTTCAATAATCACCCTAAATGTAAATGGACTGAACTCATCATTGAAAAAGCACAGAATTACAGATTGGATCAAAAACCAGAATCCAACCATATGCTGCCTCCAGGAGACACATTTCAGCTCCAAAGCCAAATATAGATTCAAAGTGAAAAGGCGGAAAATAATATTTCAAGCAAATGGCATTCAGAGAAAAGCGGGAGTAGTGGTACTAATATCGGGCTAAATAGACTTCAGACTAAAAAAAGATAAA